TCTTCAATTTTTAGAGGTCCAGACTTTGTCTTCGAGTCATTTGTTCTTGAATCAGCATAATTATCTTCAATCTAGCCGTTGAAAATCAAGAGATTGATTTTTCCTTACCAACGGGTAGAATTTCTTCATTCAAGACTTAGATAATTTTCTAAGTCTTTTCTCACTTGTCCGCTTTTTGAGAATTCCGGTCTTCCTTGAGGCATCCGATTCTTAGCTGACAAATCTGGAAGAGTCACACTCAGTCTTCCGGGTGAGAAAGAAATCCGCACTAGTCTTCCGACTTAGCCTTCAGCGGGTTGTAGCGAGACATCCGGTTCTCATGTAGTCTTCCGGATAGGAGGATTTTCGTCTGCTTTGAGAAATCCTTACTTGTCTCTGACATTTCCGATCAAGATATCCAATTTCCAAATTTCTGAATTTGATTAAGTCTTCAGGCATCAAACCGCTTAAAGAAATATCACAACTTTATTGGAAATCCCAAGAACTTGGTTTTAACAATATTTCTAAAAGGAAAAATTACATTGAATATTTGGGGTGACCTAAAGTCCCTATTACATCCTAAATACATCATCATCAAAATCTATAATATTTTTCCCAACAATGATGCAATGCCAAATAGTCATGACGCATGAGTTAGACTGCGCTGGGACCCCTGCCCTTCGGTGATCATCCCCACGCGGTAGATGAGCCGAGGAACGCCTTAGTCATCCCGATGGAGACTAGAATGTGGGTGATAGCTAAGCCTAGCTACCATGTACGTACACAAGCTTTCGTGATGAAAACCCATTGGATCCCGCAGGTTCCTGGACGGGCCTGCGGAAGAGGCGCACTGGGCCTGACCTCTTGTCGCGGTATGCAAGGTATGCCATGATCTTAAACATGCGTCTAGAATATACATGATGATATGAATGCATTACTTTGATGAATGAAGTTCAGCTCATACATGTACGTTTGATTCCACATGAAATGATTTGTACAAAATGATGACCTGGGTTCAGAACTGGCTAATATTCGATTATCCCTTCCTGATAATCGATTATCACGCATTGTAGCTTCTATTCCCAAAGTCTTGCAGCTTGTGTTAGTCGATTGTCACTTTGTGACAATCGATTGTCATGTTGTTTGTTCGGGGAATCCAAGTTCAGAGAGGCCTGATAGTCGGTTATCACCTTTGTGACAATCAATTATCTCGCTTTGCTGGTTCAACTGAGGAGTTCAGCGTGACCCGATAATCGATTATCAAGTTCTGTAAATCGATTATTAAGGGACGCTGATTCCTATTTTGTCTGTTGGTTTTTCATCAAGACGTTAAGGGTTTTTAAAATGAACATTTACATTTCCGTCTTAAGTAATGGACGAGTTTGCAAAGTTCATAACGTTTATATTATCAAGTGCATAATCGAAAGGTCTAACTAACAAAGAGTCATGATAACGTGGATGCACGTAGGTTTAGCTAGGTAATCCTATGAATATAACGACATGATTATACTATGAATTCTAAAGTTAGAGGGCAACGTACTCACCTCTAACGCAGGGGTTGACGGAACGATGAAATGAGACGAACGAACGATTGACAACGTTGAACGACAAACGACGATCGGACGAACTTCTTGCGTGAACTTCCTTCTTCTACCTCCCCGTCTACTCGCCGGAATCTTCTCGCTTGGCCTCTTCTATGGGCCGAACAAGGGAAGGGAGAAGAAGAGGGAGTGCGTGAGTTATGGCTTGGGGGTTACAATGTGCTAAGGAAATGAAGGGAGAGAGAGAGATTTAAATTGAGAAGAATAAAGGAGAAATGATGGGGATTTATTATGAGAATGAATGGGTGTGTGATTGTGTGAGTGGGGCGTGTGGAATAAATGGGGAGTTATCTCCCTTTATTTTACTCCGTTGTGAAAAATCTAACCTGAGCGGTACGCGCTATTTCCCCCAAACGGGTCCAAACTGAGATCCGTTTGCGTTTCTAGAATCAGACACTCAAAACGAATATTATGACGTGTTCAAATAATTTTTCTAAGGATTTTATTTTTCCGACTCCGGTCTGAGTTAGTAAGTGATTAATTAAATTAACCAATTCTGATAGACCGAGTCTCAGGGCGTTGCATTAACTCTGAGAATCAATTTCTCATTCACCCTCTACCATTTTTGGCGTATAAATTTATCAAAACATTTATCTCATTTAAGAGAACACACGTCCATTAATTAACGGTTAAAACCGTTAGTGGACCTATTGACAAATATACCCAAGTTGGTCAATTTAATGCCTATTAAAATGCCAAAAATTCCAACAATCCCCCACATGAATAAAATTTGATTTAGGGGTCGACGACATCCCACGGTTGAAAACCTGCAAAGAACAGGTACGTATCTCCACTTTTGAACATATCTCTTGTAAAGTATACCTTCTTTACTGGTTGTTCAGTAGAACGCAATGTCTTTGAACTGTACTGTCGTTTGTGTAAACGATAGTATACCATACCCAGATTCCAACCAAACGTCGTTCTGTTCTCATGGTTGTGGGACACGCGTCTGGTTCTACGAGAGTGTTTAGAGGATTAAGCCCAAGATCCTCCGTTTGAAGCGACCACACTTCACTCTTACATAGGTGATTCTTTAAGAGTATCCCGATTACTCCACTTAGACCTTTGTGTCTATTATTTAAGAATCATTAAAGCATGTTTATATGCTAACCTCATCATATTCGGGAGTCACTGTTGTTAGAATAAATGACCAACGCTATAGGGGGGGGTGAATAGCATTTGATCGTAGAAATCGCAGGAATAAAAAATTAAGAGCGTGAAAGATAAAGAGCGTAGAAAGCGTAAAGGGAGCACACCAAGATTTACCCTGGTTCACCACAACTTGTGGCTAATCCAGCCTCCCGAGAGACTCTCTCGAGCTACACTACTTCCGTTAAGCTTACGGGTGCTTAACAAACCGTTACAACCTGAGAACTCGAGTCCCACGAGCCTCAATACACTTGCTCGNTGTTAGAATAAATGACCAACGCTAGAGGGGGGGTGAATAGCGTTTGATCGTAGAAATCGCAGGAATAAAAAATTAAGAGCGTGAAAGATAAAGAGCGTAGAAAGCGTAAAGGGAGCACACCAAGATTTACCCTGGTTCACCACAACTTGTGGCTAATCCAGCCTCCCGAGAGACTCTCTCGAGCTACACTACTTCCGTTAAGCTTACGGGTGCTTAACAAACCGTTACAACCTGAGAACTCGAGTCCCACGAGCCTCAATACACTTGCTCGAAGATACCGCACTCCAAGACTTCAACCCGAAGGAAAAATACCTTTCCTTCGTACAACCAAGGGAAACAAACTTCCCTTACTGTCTATGAACACTAAGAACACTCAAGAACAAGGCTCTCTCAAAAGAGTGAATATGAGTAAAGTAATACGCTCAAGATCACAACACGAACTTCACAAAAATGGCTCTTGAAAAGCTATGAATAATGTATGAATAGTATGCAATGAAAGAATAGGAGTTGTGAAGTAATGTGTTATGTAAAACAGACCCAAAACACCCCATTTTATAGTGGAAAAATAGGCTCCAACGGACCAAAACATTTAAGGGGTGATTTGCACAATTTGTGGGATTTGATTAAATTTGGATCTGCTGAAAATCTTCTCGACAGCGCTGTCCTAGGCTTGGACATCGCTGTTCTAGGTTTGGTTTTGAAAATTGGGAAGCAACGGTCATGCCAACAGCGATGTCCAAAACCCTTGCATCGCTGTTTTGGCTGTTGACTTCCAAACCAGGAAAATTTTGGCCTTAAATTCCTTCCAACGGTCAGGTCCCTACATCGCTGTTCAATACTTGAACATCGCTGTTTAGGTCTGACTTTGAAGGTGGAGTTTTGGCTTGACAGCGCTGTTGCTGGGTCAACATCGCTGTCCAAAAACTTTCTGCCAATGCACTATATTTTTGGCTTAAGTTGGACAGCGCTGTAGGGAAGGCTACATCGCTGTTCCAAATGTTTCTGGAAACCCAACCTTGGCTCAACAGCGATGTCTAGTATGCAACATCGCTGTTGGAAGACTTAAAGCCAAACCATGGTTTTCAGCTACTCAAGCCAGACAGCGCTATTGGTTGCACCAACATCGCTGTTGGGCTGGTTTAGCCAGACCCACGGTTGGTTTAGTCATGCCGTTAGCCGATGTCAAAAGCGTAAGTTCTCCAAAATAAAAACCAAGTGTTGAAAACATTTTTTTATTGCATTTTGCTAAGAAAGAAAGTAAAACAACTCAAAAGCCACGTCATTTAGTTGAAAACCACGGCTAACCAAGTTTGTGTCGTTTCGCATGGTTTTCACTAAACGACCAAAAACGGAAGGTGGTTTTTGAAGCGTTTTTGTTGGAAAACTGTTTAAATATTCCTAGAAGTAAAAACCAATCATAAAAAGTTGAAAACCACTTGGTTGGTTCGGATGCCAAAAACCAATGCCGAAAACCGAAAGCCGAATGCCGATTTCTGAAAGCGAAACGCCGGATGGCTTGGTTTTTGGTTTGGGCGAACTCCAAGTGTTTTAGGCATGTTTAAAACTTAAGAAGAACATTTATGAGTATGAAAAATTTTTTTTGATGATATGAGCCTAGAGATCCATGTTTTGAAAGTTTGTGTCGGTCTTGATCACATTAAGACCGACTCAATACAATGCTAAGTCTTTGTTCTTGATTCTTGGTTCTTGGTTCTCAGTTAATCATGCCATGTTCCTTCGCCTTGGTTATGCTCAGTTTAATCTTGTTGTTGTCAACGGCGGTTTGGCATTATCAAAACCTGTCATAACGCGAACACGGTTTAGTACGACATAGGCGTAAACCCGTGTTCCAACAATTTCCCCCTTTTTTATAATGGCAAACAAGACAGGAATATGCATACTAAGGGATATTTGACTTTGAAGAGAGTGAAAAAGTTCCCCCTTAATTTGTGTTTAAAAAAATTGTCATATTAAAATGAAACGATCCCGTTTTTAGGGACGTTCCCCCTTAGTGTATGCATAACCCTTTTCTTCCCCCTTTTGACATTAACAAAAAGATAAAAGATAACTTTTATTTATTGAAGATGGGAAATAGAGGAGTACAACGGAAGCATTAAAAAACAAGATAATTAAAATAAAAGAGATAGAAATTCTAGGGGCATCCTAGTCTTCATCTTCGGTTTCCTCCTCGTCGTCGTCGACGTCCATCTCATCACCGTCAACGGCGTCGTCGAACTCGTCCTCGTCCGGGGAGCTTGACGGGTCGTAGGAGGCATCGTCTTCGTTCTCGTCACCGTACACTTGCCCAAAGAACGTGCCATGGTACGGTGGGGGACGTAGTTAACGCGTTGGAAGTATGCGTTCATGGCGTACCCTTGGTGTTGAATAGCTTCGTCGAGCCGCTCAAGGTAGCCATCCATCCCGTCAACTTTGCAGTGAAGCCGGTGGAGGGAGTCGGTGATGGAGGCAAGGTTGGCCCGGGCCTGGAGTTCGGCTGGGCCAACAGCCAAACGACGCCGTGGCGCGGCAGTGGCAGTGGCAGGTCCGGCGTTGTCCGACCGCTTCTTGAAGGTCTGGGTGCTGATCGCCCAAATCTTCGTGGCCTTCGTGAGTGGGCCAACGGTGGTGGTAACCTTGAACTGTTCAAGGATGTCCATCACCACGAACGGGTACGGGAGGAGGTGATCGTGGTCGGTGGACGCAGCAATCGTCATGTTGATCATGACAAACTTTGCCCAATTGATTGGGGCCGAGTGCATGATCGCATGGATGAGTTTGAGGTCCTCACCGGACATGATTGTGTGGCCATGCTTCCGGGGCTTGATGATTCGGGACACGTTGTAGAGAAGAAGCCGGCTTTCGGGGTTTGCGGAGTGGATGGTGGGGTGGCCCGAGGCATGGCGGATAAGCTCGGTTATGCCAAGCTCAGTGAGGATAAGGCCCTCGTTGTTGAGCACCCAGTCCTCTCCGCCATATTGGGAGATGTCGTCGCCTTGGTAGGGGAGGCCGGCGATGCGCCCAAGCTGCTCAACGGAAAGCTCTATCGGTGTGCTCTTAACAAGAGAGTAGAGCACGTCGCCCTCACGCTAGAGGTTGGAGTAGAAGACCCGAATCAGCGTCGGGTTGATCTCCTTCCGAGCCCGGGAGAAGAATGGCCAAAGGCCGGCTTGATGAAGCTGCGCGTCGAGGTCGTCGTAGCCCTGAAGCTCCGGGAAGCGCTCCGGGACGATCCGTGGGGGAGCCACAACCCATTTAGAGAAGAACGTGAGAAAGCGGGTGCGCTCCTCCTCGGAATCGAACCAGAGGTGCGACCCATCGCCGTAGTAGAGGCATTCCTCGGAGGATGTCGTAGGCGCCCGGGATTTGGACTTTGATTTCCCGGAGGTGGCAACCCTGCTCTTGTCCTTGCCCATGGTGATGAAGAAATCTCAAGAAAAAAATGGTAGAGAAGATAAAATATGCAAGGAGATTGAAGAAGATTGAGTTTAGATGTGAGAAGAAGGTGAGTAGGAGGCCAAATATATATATAGGATTAGGTTTCCAACGTTCAGAAATTCAAAAATATGGCAGTTGGAGCATTTAATTCAGTGCCCAATGGGTATATTTTTAAAAAAATCTGTTTGAACAGCGATGTTCCAAAGGCAACATCGCTGTTGGGACAGCGCTGTTGGGCCTATGTACAGCGGTGTTCTGCGTCAAGTTTTAAAAACAGGTGTCTAATGACAGCGATGTTGGGTTCCCTACAGCGATGTTCCATATCATTCTGGAATTGTGTAAGGGTTTGAACCCATGAAAACAGCGCTATTGGGTATCTCTACATCGCTGTTTTACGATAGAGAGAAAAAATCTGTACAAATGAACAGCGATGTTGCAATGGTGGAAATCGCTGTTGAGAAACTTTCTGGTTTTGCTTGAAAACATGGTGTTTAGGGAGACAACGATGTTTAGGTATGCTACATCGATGTTTATAAAGTTTAAAGAATAGGAAGACTCCCTGTGACAGCGCTGTTGGTGTATGGTACAGCGCTGTTGTCCCAAGTTGGTTGACAATGTTTTCTTCAACAACGATGTTGGTCTCCTGGACAGCGCTGTAGGAACAGCGATGTTGTCCTTCTTACATCGCTGTTTGCATGGTTCCCCCTGATTTTGTGAACGAGGTACCTTGGCCAACCCGTCGTCTCGTGGTTGGCGGGTTCCAGTCTACCTGAACGGAATGCCGATATCTCGGTGTGATTTGTATTGGTTCCGGTAACAGAATGTGGACTTTCTTCTTTTCATCAAAGTAGAAGAAATAGTAAGGTTTCTTTTGTGCATTAGCCTGTGGAGATGGTTTATGATACGAATATCCTTTTCTAAAGGATTTCTTCTCGTTAGCACCAAATATGTTGTGTGTTTCATTATAGGTGAGATGCCTATGTTTAGTAAAACACACGAGAGCAATATGTCCTACCCTATTGCAATAATGGCATACTACGTTTGGGTTGAACATATGCCTAAGTTGATAATAGCTAGGGGGTCGCCTAACCATATTCATCCTATTTTGAGAAAAGGATGATTTATGCATGTTTTTAAAAGAATCATTTTTAGGTGTCCTTATGTTATTTCTCCTATTTTGAGAAAAATTATTATTATGCACAAAATCATTTTTCTTAGGTTGTCTACCATGAACATTTTCATTCCTAGGTTTTAGTCTAGGTTGTCTAGTGTGCTTCGGTTGACTAGGTTTTCTATTATCCTGATTTTTAGGTTTCTTACGTTGAGCCCTAGGTGGTTGTCTAGATGGTGGCTCAACGTTTTCTTTAACCTTAACTTCATTTTTATTGAAACCTATTCCTTCCTTAGAGAAATGCATAGTGTCAAGGAGCAAATTTAAATCTTTGTGCGGAGTATTAAATTTCTTGACCGTACTCTCAAGTTTTGTGAATTGTTCCCTTAAAGCTTTACAAGATTCACATTCGTTTGAGGAACTTTCAGGTTTGTCGGCGCTTCTTTTGCCAAAAAATTTATTTTCTCTTTTTAACTTCTCATTATCTTTTCCCAGATTTTCAAAATCATTTTCAAGAGTGAAGAGGCGTTTCTTTAACGATTTGTTGATTTTAGAAGCGCTAACAAATTCATCATAAAGTTCATGAAGCACTTCTTGCATTTCTTCAAAAGTGTAAGATTCGGAAGAAATGGTACATACCTCTTGTTCATTGTCGGTTTGGTCTTCGTGTGCCATGAGACAGAGGTTGGCAGTTTCATCCTCGTCTTGGTCAGTTGACTCGTCGCTGGAGTCGCCACCCCAAGAGATGTATGCTCTGTGCTTTTTGAAACGGAGAGTGTTCCTTCCGTTTCACGGGCATTTGTTCTTGATGTGCCCGGCTTCACCACATCCATAGCACACAGGGCCATCCTCAACCTTTTCTTTATTTCTTAGAAGTTTGCAAAACTTCTTCATGACAAGCTTGACTTCATCATCATTGCTTGAGTCATTCATTGTCGGTTCTTTGGAGGCTTTTAGTGCCATGCCTTTTCTCTGGTCATTCAAGGACGGGTTAAGTATAGTAGATTCATACATTTTTAAGTTACCTCTTAAACCGTTGATCGTGACATTTGATGTGCCGATTGACTCATAGATGGCATCGACCTTAGATCGCCATTCGGATGTCAAGTTCCGTAGGATCTTTCGGACAAGATCCCTGTCGGTGTAGGTCTTCTTCAAAGTATGAAGATCGTTGACTATCTTGGAGAATCGGTCGAACATGTCGTCGATGTTTCGTGCTCCTTCATTCTAAACATCTCATACTCTTGGGTGAGGAAGTCGATCTTGGCTTCACGTACTTGGTCCGTTCCTTCGTACGTCACCTCAAGTTTATCCCACATCTCCTTGGCGGTTGAGCAGCAAGAGATTTTGTGGTAGTCATTAGGATTTACCGCACAATATAGCATATTGATGGCCTTTGCATAATTCTCAATCTTCTTGATGTCCTCGGCATCAAACTCATCTTCGGTCTTGGGGATCAACGTGTCGTCAACTTTCCTCATCGGGATTTCCTCTCCGTTTTTGATGACCAACCATAATTACAAGTTGGTGGAACGGATATAGATTCTCATCTGTTCCTTCCAATAGGAATAGTTGGTGCCATCAAAGAGTGGTGGCCTAGAAGTTGATTGACCTTCTCCAATTCCTGCATAGAGATTTCTAGAAGAACCCATGATCGCTTTACTCTCAAACGGTTAAGTTTGGACGCGAGTTAGGCTCCGATACCAATTGTTAGAATAAATGACCAACGCTAGAGGGGGGGGGATGAATCGCGTTTGATCGTAGAAATCGCAGTAATAAAAAATTAAGAGCGTGAAAGATAAAGAGCGTAGAAAGCGTAAAGGGAGCACACCAAGATTTACCCTGGTTCACCACAACTTGTGGCTAATCCAGCCTCCCGAGAGACTCTCTCGAGCTACACTACTTCCGTTAAGCTTACGGGTGCTTAACAAACCGTTACAACCTGAGAACTCGAGTCCCACGAGCCTCAATACACTTGCTCGGAGATACCGCACTCCAANGAAATCGCAGTAATAAAAAATTAAGAGCGTGAAAGATAAAGAGCGTAGAAAGCGTAAAGGGAGCACACCAAGATTTACCCTGGTTCACCACAACTTGTGGCTAATCCAGCCTCCCGAGAGACTCTCTCGAGCTACACTACTTCCGTTAAGCTTACGGGTGCTTAACAAACCGTTACAACCTGAGAACTCGAGTCCCACGAGCCTCAATACACTTGCTCGGAGATACCGCACTCCAATACTTCAACCCAAAGGAAAAATACCTTTCCTTTGTACAACCAAGGGAAACAAACTTCCCTTAGTGTCTATGAACACTAAGAACACTCAAGAACAAGGCTCTCTCAAAAGAGTGAATATGAGTAAAGTAATACGCTCAAGATCACAACACGAACTTCACAAAAATGGCTCTCGAAAAGCTATGAATAATGTATGAATAGTATGCAATGAAAGAATAGGAGTTGTGAAGTAATGTGTTATGTAAAACAGACCCAAAACACCCCATTTTATAGTGGAAAAATAGGCTCCAACGGACCAAAACATTTAAGGGGTGATTTGCACAATTTGTGGGATTTGATTAAATTTGGATCTGCTGAAAATCTTCTCGACAGCGCTGTCCTAGGCTTGGACATCGCTGTTCTAGGTTTGGTTTTGAAAATTGGGAAGCAACGGTCATGCCAACAGCAATGTCCAAAACCCCTACATCGCTGTTTTGGTTGTTGACTTCCAAACAAGGAAAGTTTTGGCCTTAAATTCCTTCCAACAGTCAGGTCCCTACATCGTTGTTCAATACTTGAACATCGCTGTTTAGGTCTGACTTTGAAGGTGGAGTTTTGGCTTGACAACGCTGTTGTTGGGTCAACATTGCTGTCCAAAAACTTTCTGCCAATGCACTATATTTTTGGCTTAAGTTGGACAGCGCTGTAGGGAAGGCTACATCGCTGTTCCAAATGTTTCCGGAAACCCAACCTTGGCTCAACAACGATGTCTAGTATGCAACATTGTTGTTGGAAGAGTTAACGCCAAACCATGGTTTTCAGCTACTCAAGCCAGACAGGGTTGTTGGTTGCACCAACATCGCTGTTGGGCTGGTTTAGTCCGACCCACGGTTGGTTTAGTCATGCCGTTAGCCGATGTCAAAAACGTAAGTTCTCCAAAATAAAAACCAAGTGTTGGAAACATTTTTTTATTGCATTTTGCTAAGAAATCAAGTAAAACAACTCAAAAGCCACGTCATTTAGTTGAAAACCACGGCTAACCAAGTTTGTGTCGTTTCGCATGGTTTTCACTAAACGACCAAAAACGGAAGGTGGTTTTTGAAGCATTTTTGTTGGAGAACTGTTTAAATATGCCCAGAAGTAAAAACCCAATCATAAAAAGTTGAAAACCACTTGGTTGGTTCGGATGCCAAAAACCGAAAGCCGAACGCCGGTTTCTGAAAGCCGAACGCCGGATGGCTTGGTTTTTGGTTTGGGCAAACTCCAAGTGTTTTAGGCAAGTTTAAAACTTAAGAAGAACATTTTTGAGTATGCAAAAAATATTTTGATGATATGAGCCTAGAGAGCCAAGTTTTGAAAGTTTGTGCCGGTCTTGATCACATTATGACCGACTCAATACAATGCTAAGTCTTTGTTCTTGATTCTTGGTTCTTAGTTGATCATGCCATGTTCCTTCGCCTTAGTTATGCTCAGTTTAATCTTGTTGTTGTCAACGGCGGTTTGGCATTATCAAAACCTGTCATAACGCGAACACGGTTTAGTACGACATAGGCGTAAACCCGTGTTCCAACAACTGTCTTCAGCAGGAACAGAAGGGACTGACCGGAGGTTCCGGTACTGCCCTACAGTGACCACGCTTTATCCTATAAGTAGGTTGTCCCATTGAACTTGGGTACCAGCCAGGTTGGGTTTTCCTTCATAGGACCGTCCTAGCACAAGGGCTTCAAACCCATTCCTGCCACCGACTTCTCATGCAACTCATTTGTTAACCCTTTGGTTAGCGGATCCGCGAGATTATCTTTTTGAAAGGTAACCATGCAAGGATAGGCAGCGGAATATAAAAATTTTAACATCCTAACATGATTATCTTGCCCAGAATCACGTACTAAAACTTATAGTAGTAAGAAATTTGTACCTTTCTCCGTAAGCTGTAAAAACGAAGAAGTCGTAGGAAGAGCGTTGAAAGTGCAAACGTAACCGTTCAAGCGTCCGGTCTCCAACTTTGACACACGAACAACGCCGGAGTCTACCACAATCTTTATGCTAGTAAAGATTATAGTAGTATAAAATATAAAGATTAAAATTTGGGATAATAATAATCTTGTATATTTCTATAGAAAATATTTCCAATATTATTTAGAAAATATTATAGATATTTTCTATACACAAAATGATATATGTGGAACCAAAATAATATTTTCTCTCACTAAATTGTAATCGCCGAAACTCAAAGCAAAAAGGATGATTTTCTTCTCCACTTGTTTTAATGGTGCGTGAGGTGCATATATAGAAAACAAATATTAATCTTTGTCATTAGCTAAATGACAAATCAATTAACTCCACTAAGTAATCAATCAATGAAATTTTATTCTTCACAATCTCATCAGGGCACAACTCCAACAATCTCCCACTTGCACTATGGCCAATCTGGCATCGGTCGAATGCCCATGGACCTAGTGTGACCCTCATTCTTTAGCTTTCCTAAAGGCTTGGTCAAGGGATCGGCTATGTTGTCGTCAGTATCTACTTTGCAAATGATCACATCTCCTCTATCTACGATTTCTCGTATGATATGATAGCGTCGTACAATATGTTTGGTTTTCTGGTGAGATCGCGGTTCCTTTGCCTGTGCAATGGCCCCAGTGTTGTTGCAAAACAATGAGATAGGGTCATTAATACTAGGAACCACTCCAAGTTCAGTAATGAACTTCTTGATCCAAACAGCTTCTTTTGCTGCCTCGGCGGCAGCTATATACTCAGCCTGTGTAGTCGAATCGGCGGTTGTATCCTCCTTGAAGCTCTTCCAGCTAAAAGCTCCGCCATTCAGGCAAAACAAATATCCTGCTTGTGATTTTGAATCGTCTCTGTCGGTTTAGAAGCTAGCATCAGTGTAACCGACTACCTTTAGCTCTTCCTCACCACCGTATACCAGGAATGCATCCTTAGTATTGCGAAGATACTTGAGGATGTTCTTGACCGCTGTCCAGTGTGCTTCTCCTGGACTTCCTTGGTATCTGCTGGTCACGCTTAAAGCAAATGAGACATCAGGTCTAGTACATATCATGGCATACATGATGGATCCAATCGCAGAGGCGTATGGAACCTTCATCATGAGTTCCTTCAGCTCAGGAGTAGAAGGACTCTGGTTCTTGGAAAGAACCGTGCCAGGTGTCATAGGTAAAGATCCTTTCTTTGAGTTAGACATGCTAAATCGATCAAGGATTTTATCTATATATGTACTTTGATTCAGACCTATTAACTTTCTTGATCTATCTCGGTAGATTCTTATGCCAAGGACATAACTAGCATCCCCTAAGTCTTTCATGGAGAAGTTCTCGCTCAACCACGTCTTTACAGAAGTGAGAGCGGGAATATCGTTACCCATTAACAATATGTCGTCGACATATAATATTAGGAATACTATTACACTCCCACTGACCTTCTTGTATACACAAGATTC